AAATTGTCGTTCAATTACTGTTTACATTCTTTACTTTCTATTAACCCGAGAAGGTGAAAGAAAAAGAAAAGGAAAACATTCTTTGTTTTATTGTCTCGCATGTTTTCTTCCCTTCTTATTCTTACAAAAGAGAGCGTAAAACATTTCTACAAGTCAATGACAGAATTTATAATTTTCATAGAACTTTATTTATTTATTTATGCTTCTTTGTTTATAAGGGTGCACAACAAAACTTTTCATTATAAAAAGCTCTACAAAATTTTCCTTATATTAGAGCACAAATCCGACATCAACCACCATTTGGACTTATATATTACCTAAACCAACTATCCCAGAATGATGATATTAAATATTAATCAATGAGGTGGCAAAATTATCAATTAGATTAGTTGAAGAGACATAAATTTCTGTAAACGTAATTTATGTAATTGTTTTTTGTTTAATTCACTAACTAGATAATTACAGTTAAACTTCCACTTACCATTTTAGCTGGTAGTCAATCCAGTGTTAAAAAAAAAAATCTGAGAAAAGAAAAACCCCATATCTTTTTTTCAAAATGGAGCCTTATTTTCACCCACTTATTAATGTGTTGTTAATCATTGTTCAATTAGTGCTTCACTAAGGTCAATATCATATCATCATGAAAAATCCCGTTCAAAAATTTTTTCCACCATTTCGGTCACGCATTTTCCATTTTGTTTTAGCATAAAATTATTCCATAATTTTTTTTTTTTGAAAAAAATATCATTGCATAAAGTGAAATCTATGAAAATGAAATTATTAAGGGCCTGTTTAATTCATTAATTTAAATTTTTAATTTGAGTTAATATTTAATTTTATATGAAAATTTTTTATTATAATAAAAAAATTAAATATAATTATTTTTAAAATTTTTTTATTATAATAAAATTTAAATTTTAAACGGTGAAATTAACTTTTTTTAAAATGTTTGGGCAATTTGCTAAAATATGAAACAGACACGAACGTCGTTCGGTCCACTGTTGAAATTTCAAGTCCCGAATGACGATTCCTGACATAATGTTCCAAGTGGGGGCCCCACGTCAAACGTATTTTTGCAGTGGTGGCTCCAGAAGACAGAGACTCTGCTTCATTTATTGAACAGCGGGTTTTATCGTTTCTTTGATTCAGTGCAACATCGAATGTAACTATCACGTGATTCATGTCCTTATCTAGTGATGTTTAAGAAATAATAATTCAAATAATGAAAAGAAAGAGAAGAAATTACACATGAATAAAAGATGGGAGTTTTTTTTTTTTTTTTTTTTTTTTGGTAGAA